GCTAACTGAAGAATAAATAAAGCCTTTAATTTACCTCACTAGTCTATGTTGGAATTTTCTTTAGCATTTTCTGAAGGTTACCTCTAATTCTAATTGTCTGTTTCTGTCCTGTCCTTCTGAGAAATTGGAGCCACAGATGCCCTTTCCGTGAGCATCAAATGCCTTTGGTGTAATTAGGTAAGCTTCGGTGCTGACACTGGTGGTCTGTAGCTTAATTACGGACACACAGAGGGCAGAAGAGGGCGTGCAGTTCAGAGCTGGTATTTGGATATTAATCGGTGTTAATGAAAGCAGAACTTCTAAAGCTCCCACCTTTGCAGAAGATGGAGCCCCAATCATCTTTGTTCAAACTGTTCAGAAACAATGCAAAGTATATCTATCTCATTTAATTTTATATGAAAATAAGAGATTACATATATCAGAAAATTAAGAATAGCGTGCCCCACAAAGCACATTCTCTGAGACCACTTCAACTCCCCCTTCAGTACAGTTTATTGAAGAAAAACTAATCCTAGTGGGAAAGCAGCAGGTGAAGAGTGGAGAAACTGAGCTAACTGGTTAAAGGGGCAGCTTACTGCATTTCAGAACAGTTTGTGTGCCTGCTAAATTAATGACTAGTAATAGGAAATGTCTATGTTCAGCAACAATGTCCCCTCTCAGTCTTCCCCTGCCAATTACTCTTTCTCCTTCTATCTTTATTTTATTAGAAAATGTTGCTTCTAGAAGAGGTTCATCTTTCTATGAGCTGTTACTGAAACACCAGAAACAGGCCGATGCATCCCCTCAATATTTTCTAATTTTCTTTCCTTTCTCCCCCTTTCCTTCTCCACATCTATCCCAATGGCTTAAAAGTAAACATACAGTTTATAAGAATAGTAATTTTCAAACATAATTTCAGAGTCAAAAGTTCAAAATCATGTTTTCTTTTCTTCAATAGTATACACTTCCTTGATTTTAGAGAAAGAATTTTTGTATGTTTGTGACATGAACACTTGTATAGACAGAGAGGAAGTTAGATAAATATAGGCAATAAATCTCCTGCTAATACAAATTAAAGATCTTTACCTCTTAAAATAAAAAGAAGTACACTTCTGCAAGGAAAAGTGGACAAAGTTGACCTATCAGGAGCTACTTGGAGTGAAGGTGGTGAAGAGTAGCTATCTATCACCCAGGACAATGGGAGGCTTGATCTCTTTTCTCATTTATTTGATCCTGACTCCACAATCTCTCATTCTGTCAGAGGACCCTCAGGGAGTATTATGGAGAGACCAGCTTATTCTATGACACTTATTCTCCAGTCACAAAATAGAATGCTGTATCTCACTATTTTTACATATTTGTCTTTAAAGGGGTATCTGACGCCGGGCGTTGGTGGCGCACGCCTTTAATCCCAGCACTCGGGAGGCAGAG